ATTATAAGCCACAAAACAATGGAGGGCAAAGGCAACATACTCACAAAGTCAACACAGAAGGCTCCACCAGCAAGAAAGCGTGAACCACATCCACCAATGGTTTGAAAGAGCTTGGAGAGGAGAGCCCTCTGAGCCGGTCCACAAAGCCACAAGATTAATTGCACAAGTACCACGACACTAACACTGCTATTCATCGCAAACGACATGTGTCACCATGTTATGTGTTGCACCTAACTGTGAATATGGTTATGTGATGCAGACACATGCACACACATCTGTCTGTGCTGCAGCTAAGTCGTTCTGCTGCTGCAACAAAATCACTCATCTTCAGCTCGCATAGATATGTGCGTGTGTGTGTGTAAGACTGTTTGTGTTTGTCTCGTCATGTCATGTGCTGCCGCTAAGTGTGATTCTTACACACAAACACACACATTTGTGTGTGTGTGTGTATCTGTGTGAGTGTTGTAGCTAAGTCGTTCTGTTGTTGCTGCAGAATGACTCAACTACAGCATACACACAAGTGTGTGTCTGTGTGTGAGGGACTGTCTATGAGACTCAGTGTATCACGGTGCCATGTGCTGCACCGAAGTGTGATTGTGGCTGAGTGATGTGCCGCAACAGTCACACACACACACACACACACACACACACACACGCACACGCGCGCGCACACACACATACACACACACACACACGCGCACACGCGCGCGCACACACACACACACACACACACACACACACGCAAACACGCATACACACACACAAAAACATAAAAACAAAAAAAGAACGAAAATTAGACAAAAATAAGAACACAGGGAGCTGCCACATGACGCAATATCGCACCTTCCCTCCCCAAACACCCTCCCTTCAAATGCCTGCTCTCATAAGCTTGCTCTTCTCAACATATCACCCTCTTCCCTCTCTCTCCCCTACTCAAGTCCAAAGTCTGATAGTTTGGCTCCCAAAACTTCCTGCAGCAACAACTGCGATCATGTTAGCCCAAACTTCCTGCAGCAACAACTGCGATCATGTTAGCACTAAAGTGCTCTTTCTGAACTATTTGTTTCTGGGACGCTGGACCCGGTTTCCAGCAGTTGCAGCTCCCCACCAATAGAAAGGAGCCATCAATTGGCAGGATCTGCAAATGGGGATCGCTCTTACCGACCACATCAATAGACTCAATGCTGTCTCGATGTTAAAAGAAAAGAGGGGAAAAAAAAAAAAAAAAAAAAAAAACAACACCATTACTTTCAACTTCATTGGGTTAATTGTAAGAATATTGCTTTTTCTATGTTTCACAACAAAAATGTTGTCCCCTAGAAGTTGCCTTCACGAAAGGATATGTTTCATTGCAGCATTACTGGGTTCCCCTAGTTTGCAAGCAAAAATACCTCATGACCCGTAGTTTCCCGAGATAGGAGTCGTCGGTCTCTGGCCTGAGGCTAGAGACCCGCCAGAGGGCCGGTACCGGTACCGGTTTGGAACAAAAAAGTTGTCCCTGGCCGGAACCGGTAGTGACACCACAGGAAGCGCTAGAAAGGGGAGGAAGCTCGGGCAACGGTCCCTGACAGTGCTGACACATCGCGGTGGCCGGTGGGGGGAGATCAAAATGCATCACGACCACCTTTATCTGGTGTTGTCGATAAATGAAAGGAGAGATAGGCTGGGCTGCTATGGGTGGGCGAGGAGGCTGGCTGCCCTATAGTTGGCGAATGGGGTCCAAAGCCACCGTGAGCTGGTTCTTAAGGTCAGCAATCTGTGTCCGGGGTGTCGGAGGAGGTGGGGGGGGAGGCAAGGGGGCGGGGGGTGATGAGGTAGGAGCCGTAGAAACTAGGGTCGAGGAGGTGGCAAGACAAGATGCCATGAGTCCGGAGGAGGAGAGTGCGGGGGTGGGAACTTGGGAGGAAGAGATGGCTGGAGAGGAAAGGTGAGTTTGAGGAGAGGTCATGCCACCCGTGGTAGAGATAAGCATGTAGATGATGCCAGCTTGTTGATGATGTGGTTGGGGTGGTGGAATGCGGGATGCCAAATTGGAGAGGGGGTATAAATTCGGGACACCATTTGTGTCATACTGTCCGACAAAGTCAAAAATTGAGCATCAAGACGATGTGCCATGTGGTCAGACATGGTGGCAAGCTGGGCATCGAAACGTTCTTGCATCCGCTGTAGGAATATAGTAAGCGCATTCGTCGGGGTAGAGGAGGCCTCACCGAAGTCTACCGCAATAACAGGGACGAATGATTCGGTTGCCATTTCGCGGGTGAGAAGTGCAAGGCCATCACTAGTGGAGCGAGCTGGGCTCAAGTAATCTGCGCTCCGCATGGAGTCGATAGATGAAGAGGATGAAGATGGTGCGGAAGGAGAGCTGGGACGGGGGAGGCGCTCAATGGCCGTGGTCGACATATCAAAGTTGAGTGAGACGCTGGGCAACATGGGCGTCTCAAGCTTGATTTTGTACAGCGCGCTGAGAGCGGTCACGTGAAGCCACTGTGGATTGAGAACGAAAGGCAATAGAAATGAAGTCTAACAAACTTGCAAAATTAAATCAATAAAAAATCAGAGGCGGATTGAGGGAGGGAGCGGAAAATTTCCAATTCGGGCAAGGGGATGAGAATAAAATTTCAAAGACTGGCATGGAGTATAGAGGAAGGCATGCATAAGATAACCATGAAGTCAAAATAAAATTCCGAAATTATTTGGACGTATATTCAGAATTTAAAGAAGAATTAAACAAAATTCAACAAATGTTAAAAATATTCGAAAAATTTCCAAAACTTAAGAGAGATGATAGAAGAGGTAGAAATGAGTTGAGAGGAAAATTTTGAAATAAAATGAAAAACAAATTGACGTATTTCCAGAATTAAAAGAATTTCAAAGGCAATTTGAAATTAAAAAAAGAAAACTAATTGAATTTCATACAGAATTAGTGATAGCCAAGTAAAGTAGGTTGACAGAAATTCCATAATTATTTAGGGTAAATCAAGATGGTTTCTCGACGTGTTACAAAATTAAGATGAATTAAAAAAAAAAAAATCAAAAGGGATTTCAAAAGAAGTTCTAAAGAATTGCAGAATTTCGTAATGTTACGGGGGGCAGAAAGTGGAAATTGATTCGACTTCAGAAGAATTAAATTTGGTGAACTCCAAAAATAATCTGACGAATTTTTGAAAAGGAATTGAATTTCAAAAATAAATAACAAAAAGAATTTGGTAGAATAAGGGAATTTGGGTAACTTTTGTACAAAATGTCGGAATTAATTCCGTTCATGGCATTTGGAGAAACGAGAATGAGGGTTAATCCTATCGAATTACGTAGAAATTCCGCGCAGTAGACTGGACGGCATTGTCATAGAAGCACAAAAAGAGAAAGTACGTGTCACACACGTTAGGAATTTTTTGGATGATGCGACCAATCAAGTGGAACAATAGAGGAGAGAGGGGGAATGGAGGGGGGATAGACTGTGTGTCCTATGAACGGAGAACGGGCGAAATTCAACGCCACTGAACCCATTCAAAGGGCCCGAGGGCCCCGTTAAATCGCGTTTAACACGAAAATGGGGGTGTTCCGTTCAATTTTGAAAAACGGAACCGGCGCTTTGGGCCTCGGACACATGGCCCTTCGCGCCCAAAAACTAAAAACAAGAAAAAAAAAAAAAAAAATTGACCCCTACTAACAGGGTGGGGTGGCCAAACATTCCCCTCCTTCCCGGAATTCAAACTGCAAGAGGGTAAAAAGTAAGGGCCACCCCATACCCCAAGACTGTGAGCACATGTGTGTGCATGTGGGTGCATGTCCTCCTTTTTTTTTTTTTTTTTTTACAAATGCTGCAATCTGGTCGTACAGTCTCATTCCGAAGGGTCCCTACGAATTAGCAAGGACCCTTCGTGCAGCAAAGACTTGGAGACTGCCTTTGTGGCCTGAGAATATATAGTCTGGATTCAAATTCAGGTCTGTGGCAGTCTGTGCAATAAAGTTATGGGTCACTAATTCTCTGTTTTCTCTTTTTTTTTTTTTTTTTT